GAAGGATAGTTTCCAAACAGTCCTTGGTGACCTTGCCAATACAATGCAGAGTTATTGTTTTGTTATTACAATGGACATTGTGTACAGTGCAATTTTGAGGCACAGAAAAGCAAATTAGAAAATCGTCAGCTGCCTTGTACTCAAGAAAACATGAAGGCAGACTTTAGAGGTGGGGCAGTTCTGCTTACACAGTTAAAAGTACAGTTGCTGGTGAAAGGCCTACTCTGTCCTGAATACCACCCTGGGATACAGAGCTGATCATTTTGAAAGTTTTTTCTTTTAAAGGTTTTGTTGTTCTACATTCACGTAACAAAATAATAGTATTCTACTGAAAAATGTTGTTTATTTATTGATTGTAGAACAATGCACCAGCAAAGGTTAAGGAAGAATTGATATTCTTCAATATAAATGAGGTAACGTGGACTAAGGTTTTGCGTAGTCCCACCTGTGAGGTGTTGTCACCTTGTGGATAGAGCAATGGACTAAGATTCACAACTCAATGTGTTACTTCATAATTGATTTGCTTTTGGCCTTGGCCAACTGACATGGAATGTGATTTTTCAAGGACTCTAGTTGACGTCAATGAAAGTTAAAAGTGCACACTACCTCTTAAAAATCTCATTAAACCTAAAGTTGATCATGATCTTATGGCTCCTCTTTTTTTTCTTTGCTTTGAGATGTTTGCTGGTGGGTTGATTTTTCCAAAGAAATTTAGAGAGCATCTCTAATGGGACCCTGCAGGAAGAGTTAGGTAAACATCTTCCATTAACCTGAACGGCTAGAATTGTGCAAATACTGTGACTGCTTAATGTATGCACTGTGTTTCTGGAGGACTGGTCTCAACCTACACAGAGTAGCAGGTTGATAAGAGCTAAGACCTATGAGTATCTGAGTGTAAAAATATAGTTTGTAAAAATACCGTCTTCCCTGAAAGGCTCTGGGAGTTTTTTGAGCTATATGACCACCTTTAAAATGGAATGACAAGTACACATGGACAAAAATAGTATTAGCAATGAAAAGAAAATGAGAAATACAGTTAACTGATTCACACCTGATAATTGTTAGGGAGAAGAAGTTCATTTTGCATTCATCTTGAAAATGAGCTCCTTAGTTATTCTAGAATTCTACTGAAAATTCTCCTTTATAAGAGATTTACAGTAACAAAGACAAGGTTTTGTTATTTTTTGGGAAGGAGGCACATGTTCAAATAAGTCCTACTTCCATGCATGTGAAGTTGTGGTAAAGTTGTGAAATTTCATAGATGTTTACAGAAGGAAACTGGAAGAAGTCCAAGCCTGTGCAAAACACAAAAAATACTTTGTTTGTAATCAGCATGTGGAATTTCCACTCTTGCTTATTCATTATGCCTTTTTCACTCCTCTTGGGCTTGCAAAATCCAAAGAGATGACAGGTTATTTCTCCTAATTTAAACTACCTACACTTCTTCCATCCATTGGGAAATACAGTCTAATTAGGCCTAACCACCCTACCTACCTCAGACATTTCATTTAATCTTTCATCTCCTGCGACAATGTTTAAATCTGGACAGCCCAAAATGTGGTGTGTATAGCCTTCATTATTTTTCCTTTTCAATTAGGGCTCATTAAAGGTGCTGGACTGACAGTTTAGCAGAGTGAAGTCTTTTCATTGCTCCCAGAAAGTCACTCAAGAGCTGAGGCAATTATTTTTGAGCCTTGACTTGTTGAACATGTTGAGAGTTCCTCAAGTAATTAAAAGACTTGTGCTGAAACAATGAAATACACTTCTTTAACTGACTCTAAAACCCTTCTGTAGAACCTTTTTTGTCAACATGGTAAAGATTGCTGCAAATATTTAGCTTAGATAAGGATAGTAATGGGGTATTATTTATGGATCTCTACCTGTCAGTCTCTTAATTTGCATTTTTCATAAATTTGCTTGCAAAATAGACAGAGCAGCACTCAAGACACTCTGTGAAGCTCAAGATAAGACTGTAAAACCATGACTTCAGTCAAATGAAATGTGGTCAGCAGTAAATATCAAGATGAAGGGAATTTCCTGTAGACCAGTATCTGGCTGGAACATGACAACCCAACCAGTCATTATAATCTTAAAACTGTATGCCCCACTAACCTAACATATTATTACTTGCTTTTGCTTCTGTCATTTTACTTGAGCCTGTGGGCTGGACTAGATAAGCTTATGAGATCCCTTCCAGCCCTACTTTCCTATGATCCTGTTGATCCTACTTCTGATGGTAAGGCAGAAGAGTCCCCAGCATGGACCAGTATTAAGTGCTGTATACACAAAGCAAAATGAGAGTGTCTACCCCAGAGAATACATTGTTGAATCATTACATCCACTGTATTAACATTATAAGCTAAACTGTGAAACCCTGACTCATATTGGTCTGATCCTTGGCTTCTGATTCTTGCTGTGCTTGAAAGGACTGCCAGTACTGTAAACACAGCACTGTGCCTCCAGGAAAAATGAGCATCTGATAATGGTCAATAATGATGCCCCCAGAGGCTTAGGTGGGGATACTGAAGCTTTCTAGAGCAGTTGTACTGTCAGTTTCTCCTGAGTCAAAAGGCAGGTGATTATGCAGGCAATCAAACATAATTCTAGCATTTCCTCAGTTTTGAATGTTTGACTTTGCAAACTTAAAAATGTTATGCTAATGTTTTTGTAGCATTTTAAAGCCATACCATGCATGCATTAGTAAGTAAGCACTTCAGGTCTTTACCTTTCTGCCTGCAGCTACCCAAGAAATGCAGTAGTAGTCTGTACCCTGATGCGGCTTTCTTCTGTTAGGATGTGGAAATTTTGGCTTTATATAATTTAGTTTTGGGAAGGGAGTTTAGGCATTTCTCCATCAGCTAATACCTCCTGCCACAATGTTCAATATAAATAGAACAGTACAGATTTCCTTTACCTAGTAAAGTCTCTTCAGTGAGGTAGTTAAAACAGTACATCATTTGATTCCACATTTCAGCAGTTTCCTAAATGAAGAAATAGATCTCTTGCCTAATTCTGTAAAAACTGCTTCCTTTCAAGCACCCAGTAGTTTTGTCCAGCCATTTACCTTCTCCAACTTAGATGTGGAAGTAATCCAAGAACTTCGCAGACTGAACTCAGAGTCCTGCAACAATGAAAAAAAAATCTCCTAGCCATTGTTCAGTGTTAGATTTCTTCACCAAAGAGCAGGAATGACACAATCCTCATCAGATTACTTTGTTCAGGGGAAGGAGAAGTTTGTTGATTCTGGGTTGCTTCCTCACCTGTTGTAAATTGATGTCACTTTGATTCTGATTGTGACATGGGTTTACACCAGTTAAGTGGTGTAAGGCATAATGACATTATATACTGGGGGGAATGTTTGGCCATTGAAAAGTGCTCCTCCTTCCCCTTTAACCTTAGATTTTGAGAGAACATCTTGTGCTGCCTAAGTCACAGAAGGATGAACACAGTCAGTATTAATGTTTAAATAGCCAGCCAGCACTGGGGCTATGGCCAAACCCGTCTCACTTGCAGACTGAGCCAGTTAGCACAGGGGAATACTGTGAGCTGAACTACACTTATTTTCAGTGATTGTTCCAGGGCACTTGGGAAAGAAAGGGCTCCTTTTACCCTTTGCCATACCTAGTTCACCTGAGCTGGGGAAACATAACTGACCTCTAAAAAAACAGGCTATTAGAATACTAATAGGAAACAGGGAAAGGATTCCTAATTGGTCTTATTGATGCTCTGTGATAGGAGCCCCTTCAGTATATAATGGCACTTGTATGAAAAGAAGGGTTACACATAGGCTGAAATAAGTGTCAAAATAGAAGGCAGTAGTGGTGTCAGTAGCAAGAAAGGTGTGAACAGCCTTTGAAGTTTGTTTTCAGTATTCTGATTTATGCATGCAAACAAATGCACACACATACAAACCTGTGCACATATACTTTCTCACATTCTTAAGAGACATTCAGAACTGGCATAGAAATTTGTATTCTCAGATCAGAAGTGGTGAAGTGTAATCAGAGAGCTTAGAAATGAGGTTTGTCAAACTGTCAGATTGGCCAAAAGTTACATACCCATAGCTTTTATTACTATTTGCATTTCTACTAAAGAAGCCAGTTGAAATCAAGGCTCAGCATGCTATGGGCTGTTCATGTGTACTGAGGAACAGTCCTTCAGACCTTCTATGTTCAAATTTGCAATCCAAGCAGACCAGACAAGGGGTAGGAAAGGAGCTTGTGAATTATTCATTCAACAGTCCAAGATCTAAGATTGGAACCTCAGACCAAACATATCTCTTATTCAGTGTCAGAGCTTTTTCTTCCCCAGTGCAACACACACCCAGTGGTCACTGGACTGATGCCTCCATTCCCAGTCCCAGTTTTAAAGATTATGATGCTTTCTGAAATTTTAAGAAATTCTGCTTTCTAGTTTAAAAAGGGAAGTACCATATTTACTCAAATACAAGATGAGGTTTCCCCACCAATTGGCATCCCCTTGTCTTGCAATCACAAACAAGGAAATCTCACTAAATACATTATCTACCATTAAACTGCAGTCAAAAGCCCCATGTGCTCAACAATGGAAACCAGCTATGAAGCTGATGAAATGAAGCCAACATTGAGCATGACTTTTAAAACACATGACCTTTATTGGGCAAACATATTAATGGGAAGCGGGTTTTTTTAGCCCTTTAAACATGGGTCAGTGTTCCCTCTACAGCTAACTGGCACTGGGTCTGGAGGTACTACAATAGCAGGCCAGCACCAGAAGGGCCAGAGCCAGGCCTGACACCCTCCCCTCAGTGCCAAAAATACTTGATCATAGCCAAAAAGCCACACTACAATTTTTATTTTTATTTTTGCAAAAAAAAAAAAATATATATATATATATATATATATATATATATATTTTTTTTTTTGCCCATGGATATATATATATATTTTGCCCATGGATATATATATACTGTCTCTAATCTCATTCCTTGGAGATCTCAGAATAGCAGAGACTTCCTATGCCTGAAGAAGGGTACTTGTTCATCATTGTATTCATCATCCTCTCATCAACATCATCCTCATCTTTGTCATCTTTGTCATCCTTGCTGCTCTCTTTGGAGGGCTTGCCTCTGAAAAGTCTATGCCAGTCCCCTCTCTTCCATATAAGGTCCACCATCTCTTTCCCATGGTCTTCTACCATCTTTCTATAGTACCAGTACATCTCACTCACTCCCATTTTAATACAGCCCTCGACTGGGAAGTTTGTGTGTCTGTTTATGAGCAAGTTCCTTGTCTTCCACAGGGTGTACCTGAAGCAGGAGATTAATTGGTCAAAGTGGGCTGGCAGGACCTCTTGCTGCTTAGTCAAGTGCCTGTACAGAACCACATCTCTAGTCAGGATTATGAACAGTGTCACCACCAGGAGGAGTACACATTCTCTCTTCCACACCTCTCTGGTGTATGGACAATCCCAGAAGAGGTGGTCTATTGTTTCTGCCTCCCCACTGGCAGGATTGGCTGGGGCAGTTAGATGGACCTCTCTGCTCCTCACTGTTTTTCCATGCCCTCATGAGGAGTGCCCAGTGGGCTACCTGCCAGTTCAAGTCTCTGTGGTCCTTCTTCAGGTCCTTGTGGAAAATTCACTCCCACACGGCCTGGCAGCTGTCACGAGCTAGTAGGTCCATGGGCAATATGCTATCTCTTGCCCTTACCACCTCCTGCATCTTGTGGTGGTTTGCCAGCATCACTGGGGCCTCTTGGTGCAGTTTATATTTGTCCCAGAGCATTTCAGGATCCTTTAGAACCATAGGAACTCTATGGGTTCACATGGGTCATTTGTACAGCCCCCACTGTTGCAGTAGTTGCCCTGAAAATTACTTTACAAACTGTGAGGCAGAGGCATATTGCTACCCAGAGCATCCGCAGGTGACAGATAATGGAATGACCATCAGGGAAAGTTAGCTGTGAAATAAGCAGGTGTAACTCTAATGAATAAGCAGTCATGAACGAAGCAGCAGCAGCATCACCAGGATGTGGTGAGGACAGCAGAAGGCAATGGTTTCCCTCCTGAGAAGACACGTATATCCTTTGACAGTGCTGTGACATGGGAAGTACAGGTTGCCGCTATAACAAGCCTGCCCAGCCTCCAGCCCTGGGTCTACAAGTCCTCAACAATGGAGCAGGTGGAAGATATTACAATCAAAATGACTGCAAAGGCAGATGAAGGTTGCAGTGGAACAAGATTCCCAGTTGTCTTGGTCTCATTGCCATTGAATCAAGTTCCCATTCTGTCAAAAGCCATGTGGAAGCTGATGTGCACAGCAGTCTTCCATGAAAACAGAAGACAATCATTCTTGACTGTGAGGGATTGCCAAAGACTTTACAAAGCAGGCTGTTTTGGATTCTGTCCCTGTTGCCAGTTTGCAAATCTGGCTCACCTACTTGGCCTAGAGGAACAGCAAGATGTCTGGCACTCCTCTGACTAAGCTAGTGCATCCCATCTGAATAAGATGTATGGTAGGATCCATTAAACATAGTCCCCTTCACTGCCAACTCTTTTAAGTCATGGTGAGCCACTATATTCCATACATTTTGATCTCCTGTTCACTCTCTTCACAGCTTAACTATGCCTTTCGTTCCCATTCCCAATGATTCCTGTTTCTTCACCAGCCTTAAATGCCTGGCAAACATCACCGAACAAGGTCCCATCACTTCCCTCAGAATCCCTCTGTTGCTACTTCTCTCACTTTGTTACATGATTAGTGTGGCCCCACTTTTCATAAGGTGAAGCCAGACCAGATTGCCCTACACCTTTGGGCACATCCAAACACATGTACATGTGTGTTTTGCAATACTGCAGATCCATCTGTGGCACGGCAAACCACATGCACCACACATGCAGGTATTCGCCACACTGCTAATTTGCAATGCAGTGGGGGGTTTTGATCTCAGAAGATCCTGGTGTCAAAAAATCCCATGCCAGAAGAAAGTGAAGTGGTGCATGTGGCGGCAGCATGTACTGCCTGAAACTGTAGCCTGGGTGGCCAGAGGCACACTCCAGCTCTCAGCCAGGCTCTGTGCTCCCAGATCGCTGCTGTTGCTGCCCCTGAAAGCCCCCAGGACTCCAGGTAAGGCTTCTGGGGCTAGCCCAGTTGCTGACCCAGCTTTCTCTACCCCACCTAAAGCATTTTCCCCATGCTAACCCTACATGCAGGGGCATGCACTGGGGCAAAAAGAAGGACCACAAATTTGTGTTGCTGTTTTTTTTCCCTGTGGTAAGTGCATAACCCTGCTCATAGGGACATGGCCTATCTGTATGTAATTGTTTGGAGTATCTCAGGACTCGTGATAAGAACACTTGGTTCTGGTCATGAGTGGAGATGAATTAGAACATGGAACCTTTGTGGCAGGTATGTGGAGTATACACACATACTGAGCAGTGCTGAGCTGTGGGGTCACCATGGCTTGAAATGCTGTTGATTCTGGTGGGGCCCAGCTGAAAGAACTATGTGATAAACTATGTCTTTTGCTTTGGACTAATATCATGTATAGTTTGTACTGCGTATAACTGGGTGTATCTACATGAGATGTTTACTGTGGAGTTGACTAATTAGCTATGCAGTAAACATCTCAGCATCTACACTTGCACCCCTATTAAGGTGCAGGAAACTAATAACTCCACAGCAAAGTAGTACTTCTAAATAGAATCATAGAAACATAGAAAATTAGAGTTGGAAGGTCATCAGGAGGTCATCTAATCTAACCGTCTGCTCAAAGCAGGACCATCCCCAACTAGATCACCCCAGCCAAGGCTTTAATACATGTACTACCCTGCTGCAGAGCTTTTTTGTATACAGCAGCACACATGTAGACACTGATACAGATGGCTGGAGCTCAAGGGTGCTTCAGTGTGGGGGATGCCTGCTGGCTAATCAAATACTGAAGCACCCCCATGCCCCAGGCAGCCCCTCCACAGCACATTAAGTCTGCTTGGACCAGCCCAGAGCTAGCAAGCAGATCCCCAGGGCCCCCTGCCAGCTGGGACTTCTCCAGCCTGGCTCCATGTGCTGCACGTGGATATACTCATTCATTCATGTGTGGATAGTCACATAACACACCCGGGAGCAAAAAACTGTGCACTCATTGTACATGTAGATGTTCAGGAGCTCTGTAGATTGCCCAGTAGATGCTACAGTGCTTCTCAAAAGTGTGTTTATAAAGTACCTGTGCTAAAACCTGCAGCAGTTTAAAAAAAGACACATGCACATCTACACAAAACACTTAATGAGCAGAAGACTAATTCTACTGTGCATTAGTGTGGCAGGCAAAGCCTATGCTAATGCGCTAATGTGCAATAGATTGTCTAAAGCCCAGTAGCATCACAAAAAAACTGTTCATCTGTGCTAACGTGCAGTACCACTGATTACAATGCATCCCTTTAGTACCTGTCATTACAGGTACTAAATTGAATGCTTCATAATTACAGTACATTAATGAACATGTAGATGTGCACAACATGCATCAATTCTGGATGAGCTAAGTGGATACTGTATGCAAATTGCTAGAGCCATGTTTAATTTCAAGGTTATTGTTTTCAGATTTGCTTCTCACTTCTATGTGCTCAGGGAGAGCAGGGTCTGACAAAAAGAAGAGGGGAAAAGGCTATTAGGGGAAAAAGTTGGTGGGAAACAGAGATTATAGGGCTACCTGATCCCCTAGATTTATTTCCCTACTGTAGCAGTGGGAGGGGAACATATTCAAGACAAACCTCCAATAATCAGATTCTATACCTGGAAAATTATAACAAAATTATACATTTTCCATATATAGAATATAATTATTGGGAGGTCATCTTATAGTCATGTAAATATATGATAATATTTAAGCAAGTTTTGTTTTTAAAACAGAACGCCACTTGGAATGAAACAGGGAAACTTCTCTACTGTTAAAAAAATAATCTATCACCTGAAGAAGGCTTGATGAAGTCTCACTGATCATAATACAGTTGTCAGGTAAGGAAATAAACCTTTGTCCATCCTTAAAGAATTCACAAAAAATGTAATACTTAAAGATAAGCCAATAATTGCAATGCTGGCATTAAACTTGTAAGTATCTTACCTCATCATCAAAAATAGGGTTGATGTTAGCACTTTAGGAAAATCCATGATTAAGTTAGTGTGAAAGTGCTTATTAGTAGGTTACTGAAATACTGTAGCAACTACAATAAAAGCAGCCTCAGCAAGTGAATGGAGATGAAGTACTGTAATTTTCTATCAGTCGCTGTCTGGTTGAGTTTAATAGAGATCACATTTGAAAACCTCTCATAAGCATTTGCTTTAGCATTCTCTTTCTGTTTCTTTTTAGTTTTTCCTCCCAGACAACGTCTTTGAATGCTAAGCTTTTTTATTGTATGTGAAATTGCTCAGTGTTCTAAGAGAAGAAAGAATTTGCATTTTGTTTCATACATTGTATATAAAAGCAAACACTCAAAATTTAACAATAGAACAAATAAGTTCTTTGGAACATAACCTATTCCACTGGTACCTGTGGAAATCTGTTCTCCTGAAAGAAGCAAGGGGGTTTTGGTGATATATTATTGGACAAATTGGACCTACAGGTGTTCTGAAGAAATTTATGCCCAAAGCATGTCTAATATCTATCCCAGTGATACAATTGATCCAATAAAAGATATCGCCAAAAAAACTCTTGGTTCTCATATATTTCCTGGACCGTCATGGCTACAGAAACACTTCAATCTCTTCTCATGAGAGACAGCTACCAAAGCTAGTAATTGCATCAATCCTACAATAACTGGCTCAGGCTTACAAAAGCTCATGGTATACATCTCTGATTTAGTTTATGAGGTGCAAATCTACACTGCCTTCTGCCAGGCTCAGTTTGGCAAGCTAGGGATTTAGGTTCATGTTAGTATAAAGCATAGAGTTGGGAAGACATTAAAGATATGAGGATCTCAAAATTCTTTTGATTGATTTACCCAAGTTTCCAGCAGCTGGATAGACCTGTAAACATGCTCCAACAGTCCAGCTGGTGAAAAAAACTTCCACTAGAATGCTTTTTGTCAAAAGACGTTGTTCAATTGAGCTTGAAATTTTCTGTGAGAAGGGTCAATTACAAAGCGCAATTGGAGTTGCAGCTAGAAAGGGATGGGAAGGGTAACAAGAAGGGTTTTTACAAATATGT